CACATAGCTTTCCGAAGAAAACTCTCATTACTATTGCTTGTTAGCAGTAGAGCCTTCTCTTGTGTTTCTTTACAAACATGTGCACTGGATGGTCTTTGTTCCTTGTGGCTAAGAAGATGCTTAAGAAGAAACAAGGGCAAAAAGGAAGAATTCTTGCGGGGGAATCACACCAACCTGCTGGGGATTCCTGCAGATCCATCCTGCATTGTGACAAATAATTGCACACAAAATTCGCCCTGTTTACACTTCCCACCTGGAAATCCACACGTGGTCCTTCTGGTCCTGCCTGGGGAGCTGCAATGGGGTCCACATAGGGCCTCCCCAACGGAAATGGGAGAAAATGAGTCTAAAAACTATTGCCATCTAAATGGAGTAGAGTTACGCCGACGTATGAAAAGAGATTGAGGAACCAACTTGCCATTGTGCAGATACTTCAACAGTACAGCAGAAATTGGTGTGGGGGCAGGGTGAAGAAACAGCAGACAGGTTTCGGGTGTTTCACAAGTGTGTTACTAAGAAGGTAGCCTGGAAACATCTGGAAAAACCTAGAGATTTCCAAAATAGATGTTGAAACAGAAAACAGGACACGGTCCATCATAACTTGGGCACTTTCAATCATTTGAGAGAAACAAAACGTAGCCTTTGTGTGTAACGCCTTCCATTGTGAAAGTAGGACTGCATTTTTTGTTATTTTACTTGTTAAAAGCTGTCAGACATCTCAGGAGGTCCTCTGATGAATACAGTTGCTGTGGTTTTGGACCCCGGTTTACAACTCTCTGCTCCTGATGCTCTTGTAGTGGGGCTTGTCAGCTTTTCCTGCTGCACTCATTACCCATATAGCTTATGTCTATATAGTTTATGTCTACAGAATGAAGAGTTTATACTACCTCAGAAGGTGGGTTCATGCTAGTGCAGTGCTATCTGGAGGGACAGAGAATGGGGTCCCTTCAGACAGCTCTGCTTTCGGAGATGTAGCTTCCAGCAGAGGGGCAGCAGGATTTCATAACACTGTGAAGTCAATATAATCCGTTCAAACATATCTTACCAGTGTGGAAACTAAGTGTAGAAAGGCTGCTGTTATTTAGGACACTGTGTTCTCCAATATTTCCAGGGAATCATTCATCCTAAATATATTTATAATCAAAACTTACAAAGCTAAAAATGTAATCTGGAAATCTGTTAAGAATAATCAGGCTCAAAAACTCCTCCTGGACTTTTTGTGGCAGGTACCCGAACCCAGGGGGAGAATGATTTTCTTCTTTGCTGCTGTACGAGGAAACATTTAGTGAGACTGGTATTTCCCTTGTTCCTCTCTATTTAAGGTTCCCCATTTTTTATTTTCTTGCTGTTTTCTTTCTTTATCCCTACTCCTCATATATCTAGTGTTTTTATCCCCTTTTTCTTAGCTTTCCTCTGAACTCATATTCTTTTTCACTTTCCCATTCTCAGCCTTTCTACTGTTTTTCTATTTCTTTTGAATCCTTTCCATCTTTCCTTCAGAAATACCCTAGTGCAAGTCCTTCACAAACCCTTGTTACCCTTCTTGCAGTGGCTCACTTGTGTCTGGAATCTGGAGCTGTTACAGAAGTTCCTGTAGGCACTTCTGACAGGAAAAGTTGCCAGGATGTATCTGCCTCTAGTTCAAATGTAGGGTTTCTGATTACTTGAAATTTTTGAGAGATTTTGGTGGACAGTCTCTCTGTTTGATTGTCTGCTAAGCCATGCTCAAACTACAGGGTACCTAAATAATATTAATGTAATTTTCAAATTTGCATAATCAGTGGTCTCGGTCAACAATTAGTATTTTACTAATATCCAAACAAATATAATTTTCCAAATTATACAAAACTCAAACAGATATTATATTTTCTTGTGTGTAGTGGCCTGATGGAAGATATCAAATATCTAAGAGAATAAAGATTATTTTTGTTAATTTGAAGATTAGTACTCTTATCATGTTAAAATTTACATAGATACAAAAATATAAGGAAGTTAAAAATAATTCAATACTTTTTTTCTAAGGGTATCTCTAACTGCTTTACAGCTTGGTGGTACATAACACCAAAAATTTAATTAATATTTTGGACTGACTTTTTTTAAGGTAATTTTTGTTGGCCTCATTTTAACCTATCCTGAATTTTGAGATACAGTGTTCCAAATGCTGGGTTAACAAATAAATCAGTCCATTCTGGTGCATTAGGACCAATGCAAACTGGTGCATTAGGTCCTTCAGGTGTTGCTCCTAAAAATTTATGTGAGACAATGGAACTGGACCATGTTGTTTTAGACTGGCTCCTCCAGTCTGCAGTCCTTCAGTTTCAAAAGCAACAGAGATATCATATACTATTAATCATCACTGTCGTGTTTTGCACTCAGCAGATTGAAATTTGCTGTTTTCAGGTATTACACACCAGTACAAAACCCATTATGTGTGTTACATTTCACTGAGAGAGGAACACTTAATCCTGGTTTGCTGTCTATAATTGTTTCAGATACACTTATAAAGAGAGGTCTTCCTATGGGATCTATAAATCACACCTTACTTTTTAGCTATGCCATATTTTAAAATAATGTTAACATGTTAAAATAAAGGTCTGTATATTGTTTGTAATGTGCGTGACTTTCCTTGCTGCTGTACAGAATAATCCATATACCACCCATACTGAAAGTGGTTATTAAATATGCTGGCTCAGTTTACTAGTAGCTCTAATACGCTTCTGTAACGAGGGACTACTTGTAACATCAAAGCATGGGGAGACATTAGCTCTTTTCCCCTATAGCCTCTGACCTGAAAGCTTTGCTTTTTATCTCTATATAAAAGGAAAATATTCTTTTCAAAGAAGCCTAGCTAGAGTGTGGATATTTTCTCCACTGTAGAATAAGAGCCTGTGAAAGTAATCTACAATTTTTCATCTTTGTTCAGAGTATTGTTTCTTTTTGGACATTATGCCTCTTTGAGACTGAAAACTCTTGCTTTCAAGTAATAGTGACTGGGAAGTGCCTTCTAAATCCTGAGGTACTTCTGCTTTCTGTAACCCTGACAGTCTGAATAAAGGTGAATGAACATTTTTATTTTTAAAAGAAACAAAGAGAGATATATTGTGCAAGAGAAAGAAAATAAAGTTTGAGAAATAATTCATACTCAAAATAACAGATAAGACCCCAAACCAATTAATTGTACACAGCGTTTGTCAGGGAGCCAACATCTGGCAAACCTGAACTGTATTTTATCTTGCAGATGTTGCCACTTATTGTATAAAAAAAATCATATAGCAAGTGATCTTTCTAAAGTGTATTTGGACTTTTAAATCTGTGGATTGGATCATCTTTGCTTCTGACTTTGTATTCATCAGACTCTTCGCTTAATCTAGCTTGTCTTGTTTCAGTTCAACGATTTAGGATTCTTGACTTTTTGTCATTTAGATTCTTAACTTAAGCTATCTCAGGGAGGACTTGGTCTTCAGAAACAGCTAAGTACACACTGTCAGAAAATTGTGCTGATGTATGACCTGCACAATTACGTTTGAGCATCTGATCCCTTTTCCCAGACAATCACAGGGAAGTGAGCACTGCCTTAACCAAACGTAGGTGCAGTAAACAGAAAAAGGAAGGTTGAGCACAAAGGGGCAGATCATACCATGTATTGTTGGTATTTTTCTGGTTATAAAGACATTTCAACCATAAATTTTCAATTAACTTCCAAATAATTTCCTAAACTCATCGTACACTGATAGTATTACAGATACTTGTATGATCTGGACTCCAAGGTTTCTAATAACATCTGAAACTTCTTTTCTACCTGTAAGTTTTTGTTGCAAGGACTCTTTCTTTCAAATCCTACAGAGAAACAGAAGGGTCTCAGTTCTTTTTCTTTACTTATTTATACTAAGTCTGTTTTAAAGGTGGGTTTGCTTGTTTGTTTGCTTTTTGTTGTTTTTTGTTTGGTTGGGGTTTTTTGTGGGTTTTTGTTTGGTTGGTTGGTTGGTTGGTTTGATTTTGGGTTTGTTTGGTGTTTTTTTAGGCTATTATTGCTATGGTTAATGTGGGGTATTGTTTTTTTGCGTTCCACCAGTCATGGCTTCAGAGATGGCATTAAGCAGGATTCAGTCTATGACTCTTAATTCACAATGATGTTAAGTCAATGATTAAGTCATTGAAAAATCACTGATTTCTTGGATGCTCTAGGTGGGACTTCTTATAGGTGTCAATAGTTCTTGTGGAGTGGGTGTTTTGCAATTTAGCCTGGGCTTACCTGCTTTTCCTCACACCTTCTAAAAATTGCTTAGCCAGAGGAAGAGTGACACAGTCCAATTTCAATATAATGTCATAATTAAAAAGAAAATAAAGCTACTCAGTTTTCTCTGTAAGATTTCATATGAACGAATAATCTTCAATCTTTCTTCTGCTAGAAACAAGCTGGATCACTTGTTTTGTTTTTTAATAAAGGTGCATCATTTCATTATACTTGCAGAAGTGCAGACTGGCATATCTTTTCAAGCATAAATATGTTTATTTAAAAAACATTACAGAACTGCATTAATGTAAGCTTTATAAAGTGTCCTATTACATTTTTTTTAATACACCGTTTTTCTTCTTTGGTTTTTTAACGAAGCAGAGAGAACTTTTTTTTTACAGAGTTAATTTTCTCAATAGGAAGGACATATGTGTCCTTCAGTTAGGCATATTTTATCCCTGTGTTAGACACGGTAGCAAGTATGTCCCTAATACACTTTCCAGGAATCTTGTAAGCAGAAAGTAAGATGGAGAAGGAGAGAACAGAGTTTGTGGATTGTTGTGGTTTTTTTTTTCCAGATTGTAATAATTAAAAATTTAGAAAATTCAAAATGTTTTTCAAAATGTAAATGTAAGTAAATTATGTATTACACTTGTCTAGATAGTTAAAAGAATCTGAAGCCTTCTGCCAAAAATGAATATTTTAGCTTGCTTTCAACTAATATGCCAACTTATGGTTACTCACGTTTTACTCCTGTTTGCTACAGGTGAAATGGGTGAATATCAGACAGCTCATTATAGAGACAAGCATGCTGCACTCCCGAAGTAGGATGACAGAACAAGTCATGGTACGTATTGTAATTTCAGTGCTACAATACATCTTCAAGCTGTCTGAGGTAAAATGCTTACTAAGCACTGCATTGGGGCTGTCAGATTGCTTCACGGGGTGGTAATTAAATTGAGGCACTTCTACCATTCATTTTGTGGAACTAAGCCAGAATTATCTTTATCCTAAAAATATTCTACCGTAGATTGCTGGTTGTAGCAGGAGCACGGTTTTTTGCATACAAATTTTCTTTTATGGAAGACATCCTATTTCTCCCTGGTTTTTTTCACCTCCATAGGTTGTGGGGGAGGAGAGGTGTTTTGTCACCGGACTAGCTTAAGTCTGATGGAAACTGGTCATCAAAGATGGTATCTCGTTTAAGACTGCAGACACTTGGGCTGGATTCCAGTTGTGACTAATGGGGATAAAGGATTGATGGTCATTGTGGCCAAAGGTGGCATTAAAGTTTCCTGCCTGATTTGCAGTGTTCTCAGCCTTGATATAATTTAGAATAGCCAGGGGCCCACTTGGCTGTGCTTGGCCATTGCCTCAAGGGTAAAGCTCAGTGCATGTGAGGAGGCAACGTGATAAATGAAGAGGAAGCTTCTTCTGGTCGTTTCTGGAGACCAGCTGCATTATTAAAACATGCGGGAGCTGCCGTGCTGGGTCAGGACAAGGATCCCGGCAGCTCAGCAGACTGTCTCCTTCAGAGCTCTCGTTTTCTGCGCTGAAAATCGGCGCTAGTCCAGAGTGACCCTGGCTCTGAAACAGTGCTCTGGGTGGAGAGTCCTAGCACCTCCAGTGTCTCCTCATCCAGAAGTACTATCACTCGTGTTCTTCCTGAGACAGGATGAAGAGAATTGCAGGTAGCATTAGTGATACAGGTACACATTAGATTTACAGAGCAGCATGACTATGTTATTGCTTTCTTTGCTTATTTCCTAGTGAATCTGAACTTTCTGAAATTTTTAAGTTACCTAAAAACTTGTAGTCAGCTAGGCAGCACAATTGTTGCTTGTTCAGTGTCAAAGGTATATGTAACTTGTCTAACTGCAAATTTAATTCTACAGATATTTTTTTTAAGATTGGAAAGGGTGAGGTTTATGTGCAAAGGAGGCTCTTGTAAGATAAGTTTCCTATAATGCACAAATTAGTTTATTTCGTAATTCAGCATACTTTAGAAAATAGTTTGTTTTGAGTTTGGCTGATTTAGTCAGACAGTGAGAACTATAACTGGAGGGAAATAGCATGCACATTGAGAACAGTTTTTGAGTGTACAGTGTGGAGGAACTGTTAATGGGTTATCTGGAAATAGATTGAATCTCCTGCAAAATCTATAGTTAAAATTGTCCTTTTTTTTTGATGAAGTGGTGGTGAATATGAATGCATGAGGAGAAATGCTGAAACCCACTGTTGTAGGATTCAAAACATGACAAGAAAAGGTTCTAAGGAAGACACAGTTTATTGAAGTAATGTGCTAAAATGCTCAACCCTTTCCAGACTAAAAAATAATAATAATAAATGTATGGAAGTACTTAAATCAGTGTCCAATAAATTAGACAGAAAACTGGTACGTAGGAAAGAAGTAGCAAAGGGTGACTTTACTCCATGGGCTCCCAACTCATCAGGGTCTACCCATAGTCAGAAGAGAGAGAGAGAGAGATGGATTCTATGGGGTAATTCAGAATAAGAATCTCAACTGACTTGGCTCTCACCTTGAGGCATAATTTGTCATCAAAGGATATTGTGACAGGAGACAGTGCAACTGTTTCATTAACAAGATTTCTTATACCATTCTCTGATTATGAAAAGGCTTTTTATTGTTGAAATCTGTGGTTTGCCATTTTTTAAAACATATGTATGAATCTGGCTCAAATATCTTGTACATCACAAATATGACATTTGGAAGATGTTATTTTCCTTATTAATTCATAATTTTCTCTGATTATTGAATTTTAAAGCACATTATCTCCTTGCTTATTTGTATTTTTTTTCGCCTCAGATAAACCATGCTAAATACATCTCACATCCTTTGATTTCACTGCTGTTTTTCATAGTTCCCTTGTTAAATTTGCTTCCTTCTGTTTGATCTATTATACTCAATGAACAACAGTTTTCACTTAGACTGATCTTTATGCTTGTTTGATTTTAAAATTTTATTTTATAATGGTATTAGTGATGTTACACTGAAATCCCTCATCGTGGAAAGTCTGACTCATGCTATTCTCTTTACACAATGTGAACAGTCCCCCATTGGAGTTGAAGAGTTACACACATGGGCATAAAGTTTTGTGGGCTAATTGCCTTTAGTGGGCTCATTTTTGGTATCACAAAGCCACAATTTAAGGTCTGTTCCTCAGATCTGAAAATGTATTTTTCACTGGAAACAATTGTAAAAATATGTCCTCAACTGGGAACCTGAAGAACAGAATTTTAATCTGGAGTAAATTAAGCATGTATCTTGAGGGATACATCTTGACCAGAAGTATTGTATGACTATCTGACAATCTTTTATACTCTTGAAACATAGAAATAGCTTTATTTTTGTACTAACGTTTTCACAGTTGCAGTTTATAGCACAAAGAATGAGGCAGTAAAAGCAATACTTCTGATTTTTTTCCCACATTCTTCTACTTGGAGGAAAGCATCTAGAATAACAGGCACTAATTATCTTTCATCCAAATTGTGTATGAAATCTTATTCTGTAGACTCATTGCACCTATGTCAGCCTGAAGATTAAAGGTTTCTTAACTACATAGTGACACAACAGGCTGAGCAAGCTGCGAAGGAGCTGGTGGGGTTTGTTGTATAATAACTGATCTGTGGATCACTGGAAGAGTCTGGATTTCTGTGTCCAACCCAGACATACGGAAATCTACCTCACTGTATCCATCTGTTTTCGTAGGCCACCATATATCACTGGGGTGCACAATGTAGATGACACAGTTTCTGCAGTGCTCAGAAAATATTATTCATTGAAATGTTAGATGCATAGACCTCAATAAAGTTAATGTTCAGCCATCTTTGCTTTTGTCAGCATGCTACAGCTTACTAATTAATTTGGTTGCTGTTTGCACTTTTTTTTTTTTTTTTTTTAATCACTGTGGATACAATCAATGGATTTCAGGTGTTCTACAGTCAAGAAGACAGCTACGCATAATGTGCTCTGAAGTTATATTGAGATTATCCTTCAAGCTTTGTTATTAGCACAAAAAGGAAAATATTCTAATGCATTTATAAATAGAGAGCTTATAAGCAGTGAACTGTATTCTCTTCTACTGGAAAACTGTGAACTGTATTCTCTTCCACTAGAGAAACATAGCCAAGCAAAAGTGAATTGACCTTAGATAACAATTTGACCTTCTCAACCTGGGACAGTCAAATCTTTCTTCAGCTGCAGCAGACTGCCATCTTGGCTTTCCATCACATAGTATCCAGTGTGTCAATCTTCAATTACCCTTTATTGCTGTTGTCTTCTGTTACTTATTCCTTGTGGTAAGCCAGTCATTTGCATCTGATTTAAAATAATTAATTTCAGTTTCTAACCAGTCTGTGAGTTCCACTTGTTGTTTTTTCTTTATCTGTAAATAAAACCAGGCCAATTCAATCTTATTTCAGGTACTATCTAAATGAATTAGATGGTGAAGACATTACTGCTATAACCTAGAAGACATTTGGCCATCTGAAGACCTCAGCATGCCCACAGATTGGACAAAGGGAGGTTCCCAACAGGCTCACTTTCTCAGTTTTGTTAATTATATTTGATATTTAGGTTGGATGCTTTTTTTCTCTATTTCTTAAATACGCCTTCTGAAGGATTCTGAGTTGAGGGAGAGGGAGGAGAAGAAACAAACTTATAGTTCCTGTCCTTTATTTGTGCCTAGATTCCTGGAAAGAAGAAAGGATAGGCAGAGTCAGTGGGTACCATTTTTTTGGATAATTTAATCCTTCCACGTTAATTTTCAAAATCTTGATGACTTTGGATAATATTTCAAAGAACTGGATTTGTACAAATATTGTCAATTAAAGTAATGGTGATAGTGGTTAAACAGGCCTAGAAAAACGTTTTGAGGAGTGATACTGTGATGGGTGTCATGATAGCAGATCCCTTATTTGTATCACAAACTTGACTGGACTTCATAAGAATGGAAATCTATAATTTTTTATCTTTTAAAACAAAGAGGTAGCAAGACATACTGGTAATAGTACCTCCTCAGTTTTGACACCCTTTCTGAAACATTGCCAGTGTTACCTTGGGTGATTCATTTGATGACCATGTGCTCTCCCCCACACCTCAGCCTGACCTTTATTTCCCATATCCCGTTCAAGTGATAACCACCAGTGGCAGTCGTAATGGATGCGTCTGGTTGTGATGGCTGCATCTGTCTCAAAGTGGATTTGGGGAAGACAGAGAACAACACAATAGCCGAGGGCTAAGTTGATCGTGTGCCAACAGAAATACAGCTGATATGCAAATATAAGTCAGTCATCTTACTCCATAAATAGTGGAAAGCCCAGGGCACATTGAGCTCTCCTGCACGGCAGTGGGCTGCACGCCAGGATCTACCCTTGAGTAGGGGCATCTCTCAAGGTTATTCCTCAGGGCTGAGAGAATCCTTGCTGTGTCAGACACTTGGTAAGTGAATTGGGAATATGTGCGCTGAAACTTTGAAATCTTAGCTGAGTATAAATACTTGTAAAGGATTGATTGTGCATATAGATCCTTTAGACATAAACTGTTGACCAAGCCTGGGACTAAGTCTGGTTCCAGATGCACATAAACTCACCTCTGAGAAGGAGTTTTAGAAAGCAATGGGGTCCTTTCTGAACCTCATGACTGAACAGGAGGGTCTCCCTGACAGTTTTGTCTGATCCTATCCTCTACGCAGTAAATAATCAAGTGTACCTTGTCATCGAATCTTGTTAAAGCACTGTCACATTTGCAATTAAACTTTGTTAAATTGCTGATTTATATCAATAAACATATTGCTGCTTCTCTCTTACGAGTAAAGTGCGTCACTCCATCTGTGGCAGCTTCCCTGTGCCCATTATGTCATTTGTCCAATAAGGAGGAACTAGAAAGGTGATTAGAAATACTGTAAGCACCATTGTGCTTTAATATTTCTTTGAATGAAATCAGAGGGTGTTTTGTCCTAATAGATACTTTACAGACAGAAATCAATTAGTCTGATAGCATTACTTTTCTCCAAAATGGAATTGTATTGGACTGGTTTGATGTCTTCTTATAATTGCACAGTGTATGGTGCTTTGACTCTTATCTCTCCCTCAGTCTGTGAATTTGAAACCATCAGGAAGATGTCACATTGGTATGAGTATTCTTCAGTGATAAGAACAGTAATTGTTGTAGGGAGACTTCTTAATCTTGGGTCACTCAAATCCCTTTTAAAAACAGCAGGTGCTCTCCAGAACAAGCATTAACAAGAAGAGATTATGAGGTAACCTGTTGTTCTTTATATCTCAGCATTTCACGACAAAGCTTACCATCAGCCAGTGTGTTCAGAAGCCAGTCAGTACAGGGAAAAAATCAAATGTGACACAGGAAGGAACTAACATTTTCAATACTAGAGAATGGATTTGTTTTAAAGGCTGAATACTGAGAACTGTTATAGAGAAATTTATATTTATGTAAGATAATTATATATAAGTCAATTATAAAAGCAAGAGAAAAAATTAGCAGAGGCTGAAAAAATGGAGCTGCAGATATTCATGGTGTAATGCAATCAGAAAGAATTTCTGCTTCCTCAGAAATCAAAAGCTGAAACTACATCTTGCCAGATTTGTGTCATGTTGTAACTTTCTTTTTCATTCTACCCCTCATCATCTTTCCAACTGTGGCAAATACAGTGAAAGTGAGTTAGTCATTCATATTATCAGACTCTAGCACTGCTAACAGTATGACTTCATACATATGTGCTTGTGCTGTGGGCTGCTTAGCATTTACAGGGTGAACTCTTGAAGCTGAACGTGCTCAGAGTCTAACAGAGCCCTCCCAAGTATGATCACAGTGGAGCAAAACTGCCTGTTATTTTCAGATCTCAAACTTTTATGAATTCCTGGATCCAAATACCAACTAAATTTTGTTAAAATAAGATTTTGTTATCTGATCCTGTCCATTTCCATCCAGATCATGACGCAAAATTGAGTAAAAGCACGTTTATGGCAATCTTTGTGAGGTCGAGAATTAAGCATAGGATAAATCACTGCATTCAGATGATAAAGCCCACTTTCAAAAGCAATTCAAGAAAAGATTTTTTAAAGGTATTTGGATGCAGAGGTGTACTTAGCACTTTCTAAGAGCACACTAATCTCACTGAGTGTTAGGGACTTAACCCTTCTTCACTCTTCTTTGAAAAAAAAATCAGCTAGGCTCCTATCTCTGCCTCTAAGTTCCTAAATACTTTTTAAAAAATCTGGCCTTTGATAGCCCAAATCCCCTTGACTTTCAGTAAGGCTTTTCATCCTGAATTCTGGAACCTCTAAGGTTTTGAGGGTCTAACTCTCTTAAATTAAAATGTGAGTTAAAGTCCCAGGTACTTTTGAAAAGGTGAACCTTGGTGCTCAAGACACTTCTGAAAATTAGTGTTAGACTACTAATCCCCTCAGGTACTTGTGAAATATTGTTCTATCACTTCTGAGAAACTGTTCTAGAGGAATTTACTTTGTTAACCACTTTCTTTGTCCTGAAGTTTATATAACAAGTTTGTGCAATATTTATTATAGATAATATTTTTTTTCCACAAAGAATGACAAAACTATTTTTTTTAATGAAAAATTATAAATATAACAAAACTATATATTTATGCTTTCAGCAGGCAAATGTGCTTTTTAATGGAACTTAAATAAATGGAATTCTTATGATGAAAAAAGCAACAGTAAAAGCAGTGATTATGTTTTTCATAGTTCATTTGCCTCCCTTGCCCTGCAGATCTTGTACAGAAGGAAAATGAGATCCTTGGTGAAGCCTACAATGTCATTGACTCTGAAGAAGGACTCAGAGACCCATTGGTGTTTAATGACCCTTACTGGCCTCCACAAAAGAAACTGGTATGATCTACTAAAAGAGACATATGGTTCTTTAGAAATATAAAGAAACACTGTTTTCTTCATGGGTAAACATTGTAGTCATGCATTTCTAAACACTACATGGTTTTAGATGACTGCTCTTAAAATGACAGTCCAAAATTGGTGAGGAATTGTATTCATTTTTCATTAGTACTTGACCAACAGTAATGGTATTTTACCAATACTGCTATCATGCAATTTTAATGCTCTTATTATCCTGCAATATCATACGAAATTAAACAAAACACAACACATAAGAGAGCTAAATAATAATATGAGGAGCAGCTAGACTGTTTTATAGGGCACAGGCACATTATATAATACAATTATGTGGTGATATCCCAAAGTTATAGGGAAGTGTTGGAATATTATAATATTTCTGTATTAAATTATTCAAGTAAAATATATACTGTGAGTATCTTTATTGCAGTTGGAGATAAGACAGTGACAACTGAAGGGGAAGGGAAGGGAAGGGAAGGGAAGGGAAGGGAAGGGAAGGGAAGGGAAGGGAAGGGAAGGGAAGGGAAGGGAAGGGAAGGGAAGGGAAGGGAAGGGAAGGGAAGGGAAGGGAAGGGAAGGGAAGGGAAGGGAAGGGAAGGGAAGGGAAGGGAAGGGAAGGGAAGGGAAGGGAAGGGAAGGGAAGGGAAGGGAAGGGAAGGGAAGGGAAGGGAAGGGAAGGGAAGGGAAAGACTGAAAGAAAAACAAGAATGGGAAAGAAGAAGAGATAATTTACAACAACATTTAATGGCAAAAAATAAAAAAGAATAAATTCACAATGAAGAAAAGAGTAGTGGAGATTCAGCTAGGATGATATAGGAAACAAAGAGGAAAAAATATATTTAATATATTGCAGTGATATCACAGAATGAACTGTATAGGGCCAGAACCTACTGTGAGTGTGGACTTTGGTTGCAGGCAGCAATAAAGTGCTGAAAATATCTAAAACACTCAGTAGATACCTCAGCGTAGACAAATTCTGATGGGCAATGTTGTACTTCTGTTGTTCTTCTGTCTCGAATGTGTGCCCCCAGAAAAAGAGCATTTATATGACAGACACACCACTGACATCTTTCACTGGTTCTAGAGAAGCTGTGCCTGTGGTAAAACAGAACTGCAGAGCCTTGGTTTCAGTTTCTTTAAGGGGTGTGCTTGTTTTATAAACTTGAACCATCCAGAGGAGGAAATATATTGAGCTGTTAGATTTTTTTTCTTAATCAGACATTTTATTGACTAATTTATCTTTCTATAAGCATTTGTAAAAACAATGTGATTGGTTCTGCTAGCTTATAATTTTTTCCTATTTTAGTAGACTTCTCAATGCTCCTTTATAAGGGATGGAATTGAAGCTGGACATTTTTATAAAAGTTTCCTGAGAAGTAACAATTTATGTAAACCAAGATTCCTCTTGATAATCAATTCAGCAGCTTGAAGTAATGTACTTGTCATATGGGAATATTAATATGAAAGAAAAATGACATGGATATATAAGAAATTAAACTAACTGCCTGTGTAAAGATATCAAAAAGCACAGTGATGAATAATCTGAAATGTTTGTTGCAAGATGCTACCAATACAGTCATCAGAGATGCAAATGTTGAAAACTATTTTTTTCTAATACCACCCCAATGATTTTGGAAAACCATAATATATGTAGGCTGCTACATTCCACATACCACATGTCATAGCCTTTATGTTGCTAAGTAGAAACCTCTAAAAGAAGTCCATGGTCCAGCTCAGATTTTGCAATACTGTAGTGAGAGGAATGGAAAAGGTGCATCTGCCTCTCCCACTGTGACTGCAGGAGGGAGAAAAAAGCATAGTGGGGAATGTCAGAAATTCTGACTTGCCTATGATGGGGTTGATGAAATGCAAGGCAGGGACAGTGCCCTGTAAAGGAGCCAAGTCATTTATTCTTCCTGGCAAGGCAAGAGAAAAGCAAGAGAAATTGTGATTCTCTGAGTCCCAATAAGACCTTTTTACCCTATTCTGCTAATGTAAAGGGCTTTAGGGTGGATTTGCATTCACTTTTGAGCCTCTTTGCACTATTAGAGAGTTTAAACTTGACATTCCCAAGCAGAATTCATTCTCTAGTCTGCTCCCCTGGTAGTACAATTGCCTTCTCTTGAACCATCAAAGAGCTGTGCTTCAACAGCCCATCAGGTTCAGGAACCAAACTTGAGTGTTGCTTGTCCAAAGTATTCAGGAGGAATCAATTGACCACCTTGCCTCTTTTCTGAATTGTTATCCTTTAAATGTTAGTGTTGACAACCATAACAAACCACACTATTTTGAGAGGATCATGCCAGCTTTAAGTATGCTGCCTGGTGAAGGCCAGGGGGAAGTGTAGAAACATTTATGAGACACTACTGCAATTTCCCTTTAAAAAAACCTAGTATTGGTTTATTTTACTCTTTCTGTTGCATTCGTTATGAGGTGACTAAACAAATATGAAAAAACACTATGTAATACAAAATCAATTAAGGGTTATCCAAAGAATGTAAATATATTTGATACTGCAATCTAGTTTGGAAGAAATTCAAATTTGAAACAGAGACCTATTTTTCATTGTATATGCCCTGCACAGACATAAAAAATTACAGTAAAATGGATGGCATAGTGATTTTGGTAACTTGGTAGACTTACCCCACTGGTTCATTTCTCTCTGTGTTGACTTTGTCCTTTACATTCCAAAGATGGATAAATGTATTAATGTGTAGTTTACCACACAGGTCAGGGAATCTTTCTCATTTGACCTTGAAAAAAAAGATGTTCTGTCTACTCTGCATGGATAATTCATAAGATTTAGTGGCTCATCTCTATATGTTTGGTGTTCAGAAATGTTACTTCCCCAGATGTGTCACTGTCTTCTGCACCAGTTAGGTAGCGTATGGCTGCTGAAAACTGGTTACACATTTATGGGGCTAGACTTATGTCATACAGAGATTTCTGCTTCTTTAGCATGAAGGCATAGTGCACTGCTAACATGATAAAAGTCTCCCATTTTCATGAGTAGCAGAACATGCAAGCAGGACACAATCAAATTATGTTGGTTGAAGAAAAATGCTTGATGTTATTTAGACAAAAAAATAGGCAATGGACAAACAACAATCATCTTTAAAGAATTTTCCACTAGCCAGTGAAATAACTTAATGTATATGCATACATGTGTTTGAGTACAAACAAGTAAGGAAAGAATCATAGCTGAGAGAAAATAAAAGGCAAATATAATAACATAGCCTTGAATCTCTCACTGTTAGAAGTTTGTGTCAGCTGAATTACTAGTCAATGAGCTTTAGTATGCAACAGTACTTCAGTGTATATAAGGTAGAAAGCAAGCAAAATGAGAGACCAGAAAAGACAGCGTTCTAGGTGAGACAACTAGAAGATATGACACCTCTGGTGAACATTTTACAAATTTTAGTGGGTAAATTTTGAAGATATTTCTGCTTAACTTCAGACCTTCATGAGATGCAGAACTCATGCTAGCTACAGGACTATCAGTAAAATAAATGACCCTATTTCAGAGAGCTTGCAGTTAAGAGTAAGATAATTGAACAGTTGAATACTATCAGGACACAGCCTTCCACATCAGGGGGCAGTGAGACAGTATTGATCTGCTAGGTAAGCAGCAATCACATCTCATCAGTAGCTTAGTCATTATTGAGTCTGTAGTCATCATAGTAAAATAAAGATTTGATATGGGACTATGCTGGGCATATACTCACAAAAACTGAACAAGTTGTTCAGCTCCACTTTGTAGGACTATGTTTTCTGTCTAGACAGAGAATATTCGTGAAGGTACATGGATGGGGACACTCTTATTACTTTTTCTCAAACCATATGAAATATAAAAGGATTTTAAGGGCAATTCATATTCCTGAAACCAGCACTATGCAAACAATTCCAACTGTCATGAGACATCACTGCCATAGAATTAGGCAGTTAGCATAACCTACTGTTATTATTTCTTTTTCTCCTACCCCTTGTGCAAGCACAAGCATGGGTGCTGCTACATGGTGAGCCTCAACAACTGATCCAAATTAAAAATAATATGGTAAGAAACCCCCTAGGTTTTTAGCTGCATAAGTTCTCAATCAGTTCATTATGTCACTACAAACATGTTTGTGCCACCAAAAGAAAAGGGGTAGGAGACTCAGAAATGAGAACTATCACCTCTTGGGAGCAGCACTAACTTTTTCAAGCTGAAGGTGTGGCTAGAATTGTGGTAGTAGAAAAGCTGTCCCCAGAAATAAGACAAATAGTGATAACAGTGTATTGCACCCTACGAAGGATGGTGTTGATCTTGAGCTTATTGAATATTTGTCATTTCCGTGAAGTTTTTGGCACAGTAGTTGATTAGATATTTTTAAGAGATCCTCAATAATTTAATGCTTTTTCTTATATTGTGTCTGTGCCTATTAAAAGGTATACTGAATGCTGTGCATAATTATGTTCATAAGAGAACAGTATTAGGACAGCTGCTGAGATTCAATTAATCTTACGGGAAGATAACATTTTCTTAGTTGACAGCAAAGTTAAGAAAGATGGGTCTGACTGAAAAAATCTGAGTCCTGGAATGTAGCTTTGTCCTTGGCATATTATTCTGCAGGGATTTAGGAACATCCTGCCTCCACCCCACCGCCCAGGCTCAGTGACTGCCAAAGAGCAGCATTGCCAGTGTCCATGGGCAGCATGAGCAAACTGGCTCCTCGAAGTTGCTCCTACTGCTGAAGAGGAACCTGTGTCTGAGCCTTTCCTCCTTTTTTCTGGTCCCTGCGCTGTTGCTGCTTCAAAGAGCAGTGTGTGTATGTATGCGGCAGTTTTGGCACTCCGATTGGACTTGTATGTGCCTTGGAGTGAAATGTTTCTGTTATGCTCAGCTCCAAAGGTGTGCCCATTGAGAGCAAAAGAGACGTCACCAGTGGGCCCTCCTGCCTTTCACTGGTGAATCAAAGTCAACCACCTCCTGCGTTTTGAGTCCT